CCCCCCTTCCCACCCCGGTCCCGGCACCGCTCACCTCCTCCCGCCCGCCAGGAGGACCGGCGCCGCCGCTTCTCCTCCTCAGACTCCGGCGCCGCAGTGGCAGGAGGGCGGGAAGGCGGCGCAGCCGCTGCAGCCCGCCCCCTGCGGCCGCTCCGCCACGGCCCGGTGTCCAGCGCTCCGCGGCTGCCGGGGCTGAGGCGGCGGCCGGAGTCGGGGCGGCAGTCGGGGTGACAGCAGGGCGGCCTGTGAGGAGCCTCGGCCCTCGGTCACCGCGCTACGGCCACAAACCCCGGGAGCCTGCGCAGCGCACACAGCGCCGGCCGCCGTGACCCGCCGGCACGGCCCCGGGACCTCCCCGGTCCCCAGGCGAGCTCAACGGCCCTGAGGGCAAAGCGCCCCTCTCCTCCCGGGCCCGCCCGGCCTCGGCTGCTCCCGCGGGAACCCTCCTCCCGCCTCTCTCCCGTGGCCGGCACGGCCCCGGGACCTCCCCGGTCCCCAGGCGAGCTCAACGGCCCTGAGGGCAAAGCGCCCCTCTCCTCCCGGGCCCGCCCGGCCTCGGCTGCTCCCGCGGGAACCCTCCTCCCGCCTCTCTCCCGTGTGTCTCCGGGGAGCAGGTGCGGCGGGCCCTCGGCCGGTGCCAGCTGAAGGGCCGAGGGTGAGGAGTAATAGAGCCATAGCAGTGTTCGGGTTGGAAGGGACCTTTAAAGGCCACCTAGTCCAACCCCCTGCAACGAGCAGGGACGCCTTCCACTAAATCAGGTTGCTCAAGAGCCTTGTCTGACCTGACACTGAGTGTTTCCAGGGATGGGGCATCTGCCACCTCTCTGGGCAACCTGCTCCAGTGTTTCACCACCCTCAGCACAAAAAATTAACTCCAAGGGGGTGTTGAATGTCCCCGCCCAGGGCAGGTTCCCCGGGGGCGGGTAGCAGGGAGGTTGCTCCCCGTGTTCGCTGTGGGCCCAGTGTGCTCTGCAGAGGTGGGAGCTGCGCTCTGAGTTCAGTGTTACACAAAATGAGAGGACATACGGGTTTCAACTGCATGAAAACGAAGCTAAAACCCAAGAATCTGAGTTCTACACTGGCTTGGCCAAGGAATTATACAGTTGAAGACAAACGGACATTTTCCTGAAAAAGTGTAGCTTCTGATTTTAACATTTTCTGATTTACCAAATAGATTCCATGTTTTATTAAGCTATTCTGTATATATAATAATGCATAACCCTCAACCCTTTGTGTTTAACACATTTAAAACTGACCAACACATATAATGATGTATGTCTCGCATGTTGCAGCACAAATCTAACACATACACAGAGGATTGAAAAGGAGCTGTGGGATCACAGTGAAACACTGAACACACCCGTTTTCATCCTTCATGTGTGCGTGCTGACCTGTTTCTGTAGTGCATTGACTGAGAACTTGAGCAGAATGAACTGTATAATCAATTCTAAAACCTGTTTCAATATATAATCATGAACAATCGTGCAACTGTTTGGCCTGTGATAGCTTACTAGCTGCATTTTCCATGTGAAAGCATCACAGGTTCTGTCTTCTAGCCTGCCCTATGTAGGGTGTGCCAGCACCAACCCTGGTCCTTCATGCCTAACCCGCCTGGGTTCCCATGGATGTCAGTCAGTGGCATTTCTCACCGGCGTTGTTCACCGCTCCTTGTAAACAGAGAAGAACTTGTGGGAGAAGTTAAGGTTGGAGGCCGTTTAGGGCACAGTGACCATGAGATGATTGAGTTCTCCATCCTTGGAGAAACAAGGAAAAAGGCTACCAAAACTGCCACCTTAGACTTCCAGGGGGCAAACTTTAATCTGTTCAGAAGGTTGTTAGATGAAATCCCTTGGGAGGATGCCCTTAAGGATGTAAGCATCCAGGAAGGATGGACATACTTCAAAAAAGAAGTTTCAAAGGCACAGGAGCAGGCTGTTCCCATGTGCCGAAAAACAAGTAGGCGGGGTAGGAGGCCAGCCTGGCTAAATAGGGATCTCTTGCTAGATCTCAAAAACAAAAAGAGAGTCTACAACCACTGGAAGAGGGGGCAGGCCTCTCATGAAGACTACAAAAATGTAGCAAAGCTATGTAGGGAGCAAATAAGGAGAGCCAAAGCGCAGCTAGAGCTCAACCTAGCTGCAACCGTTAAGGACAATAAAAAAGGTTTCTATAAATACATTAATAACAAAAGGAGGGTTAGGGAAAATCTCCCTCCTTTATTGGATGCAGAGGGAAACTTAGTCACAAAGGATGAGGAAAAGGCTGAGGTGCTCAACACCTACTTCGCGTCAGTCTTTAGCAGTGGAACTAGCTGTTCCCTGGACACCCAGCCTCATGAGTTAGGAGGGGGAAGCAGAATGTGGGCATCACTGTTAAAGAGGAAGAGATCAGTGACCTGCTAAGCCACCTGGATGCACACAAGTCCATGGGACCAGATGGGCTGCACCCAAGAGTGCTGAAAGAGTTGGCAGACGTGCTCGCCAAACCGCTCTCCATCATTTTCAGGAAGTCATGGCTGACTGGGGAGGTTCCAATGGACTGGAGGGTGGCAAATGTAACAGCCATCTACAAGAAAGGCAAAAAGGATGATCCAGGAAACTATAGACCTGTCAGTCTAACCTCGATACTGGGGAAGGTCATGAAGCACATCATCTTAAATGCCATCACAAGCCACATAATTGGCAATCAAGGGATCAGGCCTAGCCAGCATGGAAGGCAGGTCCTGCCAGACAAATGACCTGTCAGTCTAACCTCGATACTGGGGAAGGTCATGAAGCACATCATCTTAAATGCCATCACAAGCCACATAATTGGCAATCAAGGGATCAGGCCTAGCCAGCATGGAAGGCAGGTCCTGCCAGACAAATCTGATCTGCTTCTATGACAAGATAACCAGATTATTGGACGAGGGAAAGGCTGTTGATATAGTATACCTGGACTTCCAAAAAGCATTCGATACAGTCCCTCTCACAAATCTAGTGGAAAAACTGGCTTCACACAGAGTGGATGAGCACACGATCTGCTGGATCAAGCACTGGCTGACTGGAAGGTCCCAAAGAGTTGTGCTAAATGGATTTACGTCCAGCTGGTGGCCGGTCACTAATGGTGTGCCTCAAGGCTCAGTGTTGGGACCATTTCTGTTTAACGTCTTTATTGATGATCTCGATAAGGACATAAGGTGTAACATCAGCAAGTTTGCAGATGATACCAAGTTAAGCAGGAGTGTTGACTCCCAGGAGGATAGGGAAGGTTTGCAAGAGGATCTAGATAGATTGGATCACTGGGTCAATGCCAGTGGAATGAGTTTCAACAAGGGCAAGTGCCAGGTCCTGCACTTGGGCCACAATAACCCCATGCAATGCTACAGGCTGGGGAAAGTGTCGCTGGAGCTGCCTGGAGGAAAGAGACCTGGGGGTTCTAATTGACAAGCGGCTGAATATGAGCTGGCCGTGTGCCCAGGTGGCCAAGAAAGCCAACGGCATCCTGGCTTGTATCAAAAATAGTGTGACCAGCAGAAGTAGGGAGGTGATTATGCCCCTGTACTCAGCACTGGTGAGGCCACACCTCGAGTATTGTGTCCAGTTCTGGGCACCTCAAT